ATACGACAGACTAACGTAAGCCGCATGAATTATTGCTGTAAATACTAAGCGGTATATGACCTAGAGGCTTAGACCATTGATTAGCAATCGGGAGGACGTCGGATCGATTACGATTCGTTCGCCCTGGTCCAAGGTCTTCTGTGATTTCCTTGGATCACTAAGTAAAACATTTGGGCAGATAATCATTCACTAACTTCTGTCTTCATTTTGTTAATCTTAAATTTCTTACCCCAACAACCGTCCACCCATTATCACTATTCCTAAAATAAGGCTGAAGAGGTTCTTCCGTCTGCGCGTACACCAGAGTTAGTAGTTAGTGAGAATAAGACACCTAAAATTTTTAAGCATTTAGCAGAGGTGACGCCACAAGGGGGTACATTCCAATCCGTAATTCTATTTCGTAATCATCATCATCATCATAAGGTCGTCAGTCCTAAGACCGGTTGAACACGCACATCCACTCTTTCCTATCCTCAGCTAATCTTCGCATTTCCTTATTACTAGAACAGCCCGCATCCTTAACTCTTTGCGAACAGTAACCTAACCCAGGTCTACCTCTATTTCGTAACATATTATTTTACTTCTATTTCACGTTACTTCTCACATTTTCGACCCAGCCGATGCATTAGATGTTTTCCATGGTTATGGTTTTATCATTGCATCCTCCCAGAACAGCGTGGTTTTTAAAATTTTTGAAATGTTATTGAAATTTAATTTTTTTCATTCAAAACCACCTCAAACAATAAATTTCGAGGTGAGCCATTCTTGTAAAGCCTATTACAGGAAATACTTCAATTTTAATCTGACTCCTGCATGTAGGTAAAAGGCATTGATCCATTTCTAGGTACATCCTCTCCATCAATCCACCAAAAATGATCATTCTTTTATATAAATCCTGCCCGCATATGACTGACGTCTGAGTATACAAAATTTATGAATAGAAAGTGGCAATTCGCATAGAGATATGCAATTGAGTTTCCCTATTTCAAAGTTCATTCTTTCGCAATCGGTAGGTATAGTAGATGTCTGAAGGTTGTGCTACCGAGCGGCTTGGCCTAGAGGTTTATACCATTGGTTAGCATTCGGGAGGATGCCGGGTCGATTCCGCATCCGTCTGCCTTGGTCCAAGTTTTTCTGTGATTTTCTTGAATCACTTAGGCAAATGCTGGGGCAATAGTATTCCACAGATAATCTTTCTGTTTCTTCTGTCTTCATTTCGTTGATCTCATCTTTCTTACCCGAACCACCACCCACCCATTCCCACGATTCCTGAAACGAAGCTGAAGAGAGAGGAATTTCCACCTTATACTTTCTGACGTAGCCTGGAGGGATTGCCGGTCCACCAGCATTAGTGGCTGGTGGGATTGAAACACCCAAAACAACAAAAAAAGGTTGTGTTTTCGGAGAAATATTGTTCGCTTGGAAGATATACAAATGCGTATTGATATGAGAAGAAATAACATTCATAGAAATCTTCTAAGTATCTCCATTGTATAAAAAAATTCCGTGGATAAAAACCAGGTACCTACCTAACTAGTCAATATTGAGCTATCTTTTTTACAGTTACAGAATTCGTGATTAATAATTCTGAGAGCGCTATTAATTGAATTTAATGAACAATTCCAAGACTTAACACGTAAGACCATCCAAGACCAAGACCGAGACTACATCAGCAAGATAAAGACCAAAACCAGAAGTATTTCAAAAAGACCAAGACAGAATAAGTAAGACCAATAGCAATACTAGGAGAGTTTCGTCCCAACGAAACCCTAACCAAATATAGCGACCGTAGATATGCCTATAGCTCTACACAGATTGTAGATGCAGATGTCTAGTCCTATTTTACGTTTAGCACACAAGATATTTGTACCGTGTTCACTGGCGGTTCCCATCCGTAATGAAAAAACAAAGTTAATGCAATGGCGCTTCTGAAATTATCATATGAATTGTGTGTGTGTGCGCCTAATTGCTACGCTGAGATGCATTACAATACAAATTGCAGCTCTTCTAACCAGTAATTAGTAACGGTAAATATAATGCAAGAGAATTTAGCGGCGGAACTTTTCAACTCTATCAGTTATTACATCGCTTGTAATCATCGTCAAGAAAAATTGTAGCAGACAAACGTACGGCGTCGTCTGTCCGCCTGTTGCACTTATTACAACGATAACGCTATTTTCTTTCTTCGGTTAACGTAAGATTCTGCATGATAATAATTAATTAAACGGTACATATCATACGGTAATAACGATAAAAGACACGAAAAACCTTTTGCGGGTATCTTTCTCATGTAAATATTACGAAAATAAAAATTTTTAATACTTCCGCTATTTATAAGAAAACTTATAATTATTTTAACCGATAGAGGCCCTGGTTAAAGGACTCGTGGCAAGATAAGCTGATGTCTCTATTTCGAAATCTGAAGCTTCTTTTAGTGGTACTTATATACCCCTACCTACAATTGGTAACAGAGATTTTCGTACGGATAAACTGTCATGTTGCGCATATGGGCCAAACAGTATGTTATTTTTATACAAGCTTTAGGGAACATAATCATACATCTGAAAAATAAAAGCTATGCACAGCATAACCTAGAAAAACCTATAAAAGACACTTTTAGTTTAAATCTGGTTATTTAATTCGATTCGATTAAACGTAAAGTCTACATGAACTAAACATGAAGATATTCTATATGGAATCATAAAAGGGCGGCATCAACTTTTGAGAATATATTTTCAAATAAATGATGAAGTAATGTATGTCCAATAAATGCGACTTAAAGCTTTTGGATACTGTTGGACTTTATTTAAAAGATTTTGAGAGTTTAATTAGTTTAGGACAGTTCTCAGAGAAGTAAGAAATATTTCCCGATAAACGTGGTTGAAAAAGGATATGTATATATATATGCCGATAATGAAAAGTGTAATGTCTATGTTCGGTAAGCATTTTGGATTACCTGTAGTAGAACCATCACAGACATTAGCCAAGTTTTTCTAAAATAATCGATTTTAGCTATACATTGGACCCATCTTCTAATTTTCAGTTAGTTTGCGTCATATTCTGTAGGGATGACCGACTATGTCGAAACAATTGATAGTGATACCTTATAAAAGTGTAGAATTTCTTATCTGGAGTTCTACAGTTCACTATCACATTATTATATAAGTAGTTTTATAATTTCCCTACCAGGTATATCTAATATCAAAATAACTATTAAATAGCAAAACGTTTGTTTGTTTTTGTGTTACTGTACGAAGACATTAAACATCATTCTAATAAATTAAACCTCCGGTAGATATTTGTGATTATGTTTGTACTACTTCATGGTAAGGTTGTGGTACATGGTCTTCCATTTTCACACGCTTTTGTTCATACAATTTGTGTGCCTATGTACGACGATGTGCAATAACGTGTAATATATTAGAATTGTAACATAGAAAATGTTAATTTCCTCAGCTATTATACGTGATACTGACGTGCACAGTTCTGTGCCATGTAATACCATCGGCGAATTGTACGTATTAAATTTCAACAAAGCGCACGTTACATTTGACTGCAATATCCCCATTGAAATATTGGAGAGTGAGCGCCAACGTTAAGCAAGCAAGCAAGCGAGCGAGCGAGCAAGGGCCTGGGGAAGGTAGCATTAACGAGGTCTAAGACAAACAGTCTCAGTCGACTGAAAGATTTTAATAGGCCCAGTTTTTAGTGCTCGCGGCCTTTCGGGTGGATAGAGCGATTGTTTATCAATGAAAAAGAGCTGAAATAGCACTTCGGGATGCTCGCGATCCAATCCTCTTCTCTTCCAAATTACCGAGAGCTTGTTTGCAAATCGTTCTGTCTTATTCGGCGAATTATTGTAATTGCTATTGTACTATATGTACGACGCTTCAGAATTTATTAAAGGATTATCGTTGCTGAAACGACGACATCTCTTTGACATATCATTAAAATTCGGGAATTATACGGATACAGCTAGAGAAGGATGGGATTGTAATCTAATAGTTTTATTTTATATCCGTTACGAAGTAATGTACAGGTCGGACGAAGGAGCTGGCGAGCGGTCGCGCAGGTACTTGCCCATTTATGACCTATTTGGGTAAGTCACTTGGAACCGATACAAAAATAAGCTTTCAGTAGGCGTAAATTATAGTATTAATACAGATAGGACAGTAGCGTACTAGAAAATAATGTAAAAACATGACTTATCAAAAAGAAAAAATTAACCTATTGCTTTTGTTTTATAGTTAGTTTTCACATTCACTGTCATCATGGGAATCTCTATCACTGTCACCAACATCAACAATTAGTTCTTCTGTTTGTATGTCTATTACTTGCTCACTGATCCCTATTTTTAAATATTTAATCTACGCCCCTGATAGGAATACTGAAGAAAGAGGACTGCAATCGTTATACCTAAAAGTGCCTACTTTTGCCACCGCGCATCCATGCATTTTAAAATTTCCGCCAGCTTCCAGCGTCAGGCCTGTATTTTTGTTTTGGTAAATAGTATAGTCATCTATGCACTAAAATAGTCAAGTGCATTGAGTTAGTTTTATACAAAATCCAGTTGACTGACAAACTATCCAAAACTTATGGCTAGGGTACAAACCACAAGAAAACTATATATCTATACAAAGAAATAAAACAATTGGCTAACCATATGACATTTATAGTATATGGAGAAACTGTGGTACTTGTATTGAAAAGTCACGAAAGTTTGTGTTGTAACTTTAATTTTACAATAATACTGAAACATTTGACACTGACTCAGCAATAATGAAGGGGTAGTACCTACAAATGATACTTAATTATATTACTGTTTAAGTAAACTTGCTTGTTATGGATTTTGTTGAATATTGTCATCATTACGCTTTTATGTAATTTTATGGGGAATGCACACATCAGTCAGTAGTTTATCCACATTATAGGGGAAAAGTCGTAAATCACACTCCCCTATATTATTATCAAATTTTACAAGTTAGAAGGTAGGTACTGACCTGTAACACCCTTTTTGGAAGACCAGTCTTTTGTGAAAGTTGCTTTAAATCCTTTGCATCGGGATTATGATTGATTGCGAAGTAGGACTTCATCGTCCTGAGCTGATGATGCTTGAACGAAGTCCTCATTCGTTTCGTCCTTTGGTTAGAGCCGGGCATGCCCGGCGTTCCCGGGGATCTTCCGAAGGACATATCCAGGTAATCGGAATTTAGATCTGAAACAAAAAGAAACCCATTGAAAATGTAAAAATTATTAAAATTGAAAATTATATTATTTGCAGTTTCAAGAATTTATCACGTACGTTTGCTTTATTCTTCAACTCGCATACGTAAGAGTGAAGTGCATAAATGTACATACATATGTCAGGTAAGTGGCCGAGATGTAAAATCATTGCCATAAACAACAGAAGTGTAAATTTGCTACTGCCGTCGTTACGACTCGATAAATTAAAGTAATTTGCTGGACTGCTAATGGGGCTGTTAACAAAGAGATTTGTTCCAATTCGAGAGTGTCGGGCTGTAGTCTAGGAGCGCAATTTTCTTGTTTTTATTGTTATCGCCATTCCTACTGTTCTCTCTGCGTAGTCGTTACTATCGAACAAAAATCTTTCGATCGATCGATCGATACATGCAATCGCCTTTAACGAACGACAGATATTGTTAAGTGTTTTCAGGAATCATGGCGTATGTCCTCGAAAAAGTATCACGTCAACTATACTGTAAAGCACAATGTTGCCAATTTTACTATTCCAGGAAATGTTGACAAATAACATTCTCGTGGAATACATAAAAACATAAGACAGACAAATGGAGCTACTACAAATCAGTGGAAGTGGAAGCACTACGGTTCCGCTTGTGTTCATTGTTAAAAAATGTTTTGGCTTTTCAGCTTTAACAGAGGACAACTGGGAGATGCTTAATATTCTTCAATTTACTCAGCGATAATGTTGGGTAGATAATCCTATATCGAAGAAAACATCAGAAAAGTCGATTATTCTTCAATGAGAAACTGATAGCTTGGTGATAGCTTGACTGACAGTGATAAGCAAATCAAGTATTGGTATTCGTCTTGTTTGTTCGGTGTTAGTCTTAGTTTTGCTCTTGCAAATACTTCTAGTCTTGGTCTTGGTCTGGTTGATATGCCTCGGTCTTGGCCTTCGTTTTGCTGATATAGTCTCGATCTTGGTATTGGTATTGGTGATACGGTCTCGGTCTTGGTCTTGCTCATTTATAATAATAATAATTCTTCTAAGCACAAATTTTTCTATTTACCGACACAATATTATCTTAAATATTGAAATTTTCCACCACCACATGTGTAAGCTTGTCATGACTTAATATGAAGATTGGAAAAACTTTGGCGGTTGTTGTAGAACAAACAGAATAGCTCAAAACCCCAACGCCGTTTACTTCAGTCCCTGAAGAAGGTAACTTTGTTACCGAAAAGTGCTTCGGACAACTACAGTGTCGTATTTTGGCGTTGGGGTTTTGAGCTATTCTGTTTGTTGTCATGACTTCTAAAGAAGCGTTACGAAAACTCGGGAACTCTTCCTATAACTTTCTATAACTCATAACTGTGACTTTGGTGGTTTATGATATTGGAAGGTATTTTAGATAAATTGACGTTTTTGTTTGTGTTTTTTGTTTTAATGACATGGACATGAAGATATTCAAGTTTGTTTTTCGTGTTGTTTCAGTATATTGTATGTAGTTTAGAAACAGTTTTCCACTTTTTTTGTTGGCTACTTTTGTTTTATGGTTGGCACAATGCGATTGGCAACGCTGCCGGAATAAAATCAGCGAAAGCAAGAGCAGTTCGGTTTTCTAGATGTGGCGTAGAGGAATGAAATAAATTTTCGCCGTTCGCCAAGCAGCAATATTTCGTACACACAAGCGGAGCTTGGGGCAGTTATTCAACGGCCAATGGACGTACGGTAACATGGAAGAAGAAGAAGAAGAAGAAGAAGAAGCACACAACGGCAGCGACGGACTATAAGATATTCCGAGACAATACGTGAAAATAAACAAAGACAAAGGCGGGTTTAAATGGCTGGGTGGAACTTAACAAGCAGAAGTGGGCGCAACAGCTACTACTTGCTGATATTTTCAACAGATAGCGCTAGTCAATAAATCGGCCGTTGACAAACACATAACCTCAATTTTCAATCGCGATATTCCGATTAAAATCGCGCGAATAAATTATGTCGTTACGATGACCAAATTGCGAGTTCACTGGAATAATTTCGCGACGAGTTTGCACCGAACGATAAAACTTGACTAATAGTTATCCTCGGTGTTGTAAACGATTCGATAACAAGCATAAAACTGATAATAAAATGTGTCACGTGCACGTTACGAGTTGCAATTAATGTTAAATTAGCAACATTTGCACTATAAATTGAATGGCGCTCACCGCACGCCTTCATAACTTTCAATTAAATAGCTCTTTACGGAAAACGCTAGGTGCTTTTCTAAATGCATTATAAATCATATGGAAACACAACATAATTCACTGAAGTTAATTTCAAAATACCTTTAATTGTCCGAGAAAGGTAATAAAAACTATTAGGAAAGAGGGGGGGGGGGGCATTATGCGACGACCATACCTACATGACGACAGAAAAGCAAAAAATGTATTTAACTCTACCTAACGATTTACTGTTCACAAAAAGTTAAGGATGTGTATTGGTTTAAGGAAATGCGAAGATAAGCTTAGGATGTGGAAGAGCATGTTCATTGTTCAACCAGTATTAGGACTAACGACCCTATGATAGTGATGATGGTATATTAGGTAATTATGTAGGTACTTGTGGAGTTTTACCATATTTTGGACACGCTGTGCAAGCTTTTCTCGCAATTAACCAGTTTTTGTTTGCATTTCTTATTCTTCCGACACCTCTAAGACTCGTTACAAGTCTTCACAAACACATTTAGCAAAATTCTTGAGAAACTTGAATAACTTATGAACATTCCTGATTTTATTTTAAATCTCTCGATATACGTACGTAACTACTGTGACGGATTATTCAGTATTTTGTAGCCAATTCTATCAATATCAATAATTTTCATTACTTGTACTTTCCTGTAATCCCTATTAACATTTCCGTAGTAAAAAAACATTTGGGTGTTTCATTCCCACCAGCCAGTAATGCTGGTGGGCGGGCAGTCCCTCCGGTCTACAGCGGAAGGTAGGGCGGAAGGCCCTCTTCTGCTTCCTTTCAGGAATTGTAGGAATGGGTGGGTGGTAGTTTGGGTGAGAAAGAAGAGACGGACGAAATGAAGACAGAAGAGAATGAAAGATTATCTGTGGAATATTACTGCCTAAGTGATCCAAGGAAACCACAGAAAAACTTGGACTAATGCAGGTAGACCCGGAATCGAACCGGCGTCCTCCCGAATGCTAAGCAAATGTCTAAACCTCTAGGTCATGCCGCTCGGTCCGTCCGTAGTTAGCATCCTTTCCTAATTACAATTTTAGGATGGGTTCTCTTCAGCAATTTGGGACTATATTCTATTTCTTATCTTCAGAACTTTCCAATCTTATTACTATCCTATTGGTACCCTACTTTCTTCCACCAACTGTTAGCTCCTCTTTCACATTTCTAAAGACTACTTTTTCATAACTTAGTCAGTTCTTACTCCATCTTCCTATCTTCTAGTACTGCTTACTACATTTCATCAGTCTTATCGCTGACCTTTCCTTGTTAAATTTGTAAATATAGATTGTTGCGTTGTCTTGTTATTTGGTGTTTATTTTATCGATATTAAGTCCTCTAAAGCTTTAACAAACTCTAAAGTGGTTAATATGCCAAACTAAAATTGCTAGTTAAAAGCAGTTCAAATGCCTCCTAATGCTACAAGAACAGAAAAAAAGTAATCGACACATGTAAGCATTTGATGTGATGACAGAACATTCAGCTACCAGTGCGTTAACGTTCGTTCCTTGTGACCATTTCACAAGATTTAAACTGCTACATGATCGAGTTGTTGGTTGTGCTCGTTGTTGGACGATTCGCAATCGCTGGCAACATGTAAATAATGAAACGAATCGCTAATTAACTGTCAAACTTTCGTTCGGTTCGTGCAGAACGGTACAAACATGGATTACTTGTTTGAACACGGACCTGATCGGCTTGACGAAGAATTAATTGTCCCTCTTGACAGTGAATCGGGAACCCGGCTGTGTTGGGCTGCTGCTCGCGCGGTTGTGTTGTCTGACGATGGCAAAGCCTGGAGCTGAACTGAATCCGCTTTAGATAAGCCGATTGCCGACAGGGATTATGGCGCACCATATTGCACGAGATGAGGAAGGCCATTTTGCTGACACTTCAGCAAACAAACCCCGAACGGCTTTTTTACTGCCAACTATCGACCTCAAAGGGATGACTGCAGCGGATCATGAGAGATGAGAGAGATTTGTACTTCATTTGTTTGTTCTCCAGGATACTCAAATTACATCAGTTTTTCATTTGTTGTTTTTTTAATATAAACGAAATCTGTCATTCTCTGTGTAGGTCAATAAATTGGAAATACAGTTGTAATTTGCACATAAAATGATTTTTGCAAAAAGTGAATAGTGTGACATAATTTAGCAGTCACTAACTCTGAACTCACTAAACAACTGGGAGATGTTTAATATTCTTCAATTTACTCAGCAATAATGTTGGGTAGATAATCCTATATCGAAGAAAACATCAAAGCAACTATTGGTGTTGCTCTTATTTGTTTGGTCTTGGTTTTAGTTTTGCTCAAATATTTGGTCTCGGTCTTGCCGATATGGTCTGGGCCTTGGTCTTAATGTTGCTTACTTCTTACTTCTTACTGCCAATTACCAACCTCAAAGGGATGACTACAGGGATGAGAGAAATTTGTACTTCATTTGTTTGTTCATGCACAACTGCAATCGTTTAGTCTGGGGTCCGGCTCGAAGGACCAAAAAGAACAAATAATGTTTTAACGATTTCGTTGGATCTTCCGGAAACTATGAGAAATCGAAATTCTGTAAAACTAGTTTGCAAATTCTACTAAAATACGTATAACCCACACAACGACAGAATTTGTTGTTGTTAATTTACAAATAGACAATATTTTGCTGATATTCTGTTTGTGTAGGATTGAATTGACAATTAATTTAAAATAGAACATTAAGAAAAATCAGGGGGAGGAGAAAGAGGAGTTACAGTAAAACAACTAAATTTTCTGTAACTCCAGTGCT